GTTTCATCATCATTGCATTTGAAACATATTTTGAAGGAGGATTTAGCAATTGCTGTTTAAGTTGGGTAAATTATTCATACAAATGTACAAAATCTACCATTTGGCATTAAAAAGAATGTGACTTATTGACTTTTGCTCCAATGCTCCTTAAGTACTGTTTATACAATTTGAAAATACAACAGCCAAATGTACCGAATTCTTTTCAGAAACTACAACGAATGCTGGAATTTCTCGAAGTGCAAGAGGAATACATAAAGGATGAGCAAAGGAACCTGAAAAAAGAGTACCTTCATGCCCAAGAAGAGGTGAAACGTATCCAGTCTGTACCATTGGTCATTGGACAGTTCCTTGAAGCTGTTGACCAGAATACTGGCATTGGTGAGTTGTTTATTTAGTGTTTAGAATGTCAAATATTCAATTATGTCATCGTCATCACCATCAACGGTACATATACAAAATGTTTTCATTCACTGAAACCTCATGGTAAATTTCAAATTGAATTTTGCACAAAATTTAAATTATATGCAAACTTGTAAAGAATAATGTCAAGAAAATGTTCATATAATCATTTTGTTATTGATTCAACAAAAACATTTTTTACAGTTGGCAGCACAACAGGATCTAATTACTATGTCAGAATCCTATCAACCATTGACCGTGAGTTACTGAAGCCTTCGGCTTCTGTAGCCCTACACAAACACTCTAATGCTCTTGTGGATGTTCTGCCTCCTGAAGCTGATAGCTCCATTTCTATGCTGCAAGCTGGTACAGTATTTTAAATAATTCAATTTTAAAAATATTGTATAAGCTTAAAACCTTTATGTTGGTATAAATTTTGTTATTTTGGAAAACAATCGTATTATGCATGAAAAAGATGTCTGTAATTTCCTGCACAAATAGAAAAGTTAAAGGAATCGTTCCTTTTCCTTTCCTAAACAGTGAAAAAGAAACCAAATAAATAAATTCTGTTCACAGATGAGAAGCCAGATGTGCAATATTCTGACATTGGAGGAATGGACACTCAGAAGCAAGAGATTAGAGAAGCAGTAGAACTGCCTTTGACTCATGTGGAACTTTACAGGCAGATTGGTATTGAGCCTCCTAGGGGTGTCCTTATGTATGGCCCACCAGGTTGCGGCAAAACTATGCTTGCTAAAGCTGTTGCACATCATACTACAGGTATATCAAAACTAACTTTCATGAAGAATGATTGAAAATCTGTTATGGATATTCTTGTGTCTTTAAAGTAATTACTAGATATTGGATTGGAGAAGTTGACTTTATTCATAGGACAGTTTTGTACATAGGATACTTTTGATACTCAGTGATCCCTCAGGGTCCAACATGTATATAACACAAGATAATGTTGACAATTGAACTGAAAATTAGTGATCAGCACTAAAGACACTAGTCTTTACCTGGATACTGGAACATGTGTGACTTTAAATGTATGATGAGAGGTTGGATATACTTTGATGTTTTGAACTGTGTAAAACTAACATACCTAACTGGGTGATGGATTAGTTAAGAGAAAACAATAGACCAAAAATCGGCAACCCATTTCATCACTGGAAAATTGATGGCCCAATTTGGAGGCATGTTATCAAAGTAAGGAGACCTAATGCAAACTCCTCCACGTGTACCTATTCCTTATAACACAAGCTCATATTCCAGCTGCATTCATCCGTGTGGTGGGCTCAGAGTTCGTGCAGAAGTACCTCGGCGAAGGGCCTCGCATGGTGCGCGACGTGTTCCGTTTAGCAAAGGAGAATAGCCCTGCCATAATTTTCATCGACGAGATTGACGCAATTGCCACTAAACGGTAATCTATTTAATAATTAATACTATTTAATCCATAATTACTACCTGAGATCTACCATTAAATCAAACATCATCACTCAAGAAATTGACTTTTTCCAACAATATTCATTTGAATAGCATCGTAAAATCGTATTTGTTTTTTTTATTAATAATTTTGGCTTGGATACAAGTCCTTTGAGCCATGCCTTCGTTTAATTATGTTTCTGTAAATATGGCCGCCACGAAGAGGATAGGCAATTTGAGGCGGCGTGCGTGCTTGGATTGACACGGGATTCCTTAGAACGGGCCGATACGGGTAATTTAGTTCGAGATTTGTATAATTTCGCGTTTTAATCTCCGATTAAGGCACAATTGAGTATGATTCAAAGCACTAGAAATCATACTCAAGTCCTTGCAAGCACTGGAAATACGACCCTAATGGCAAGGACTTGGAGTATGATTTTCAGTACTTTAAATCATACTCAAGTCCTGACTTGAGCATAGAGTAGAGTTCTGGAATACGACCCTAACGTTCGTATTCCGGAACTCTACTCAATGCACAAGTCAGGATTTGAGCAGACTTCGAGTATGATTTCAAGCACTGGAAATACGACGCTAATGGCAAGGACTTGAGTATGATTTTCAGTGCTCACTGCATTACTGAAGTCCTGACTTGAGTATTGGGTAGAGTTCTGGAATACGACTCTTAGTCCCATTTCATAGAAAAACTTACTTCATGTAAAACGTAGTAGGTCACTACCATAAATTTAGTAGTACTAAATTTATGTACCTCATTTTATGTACATACGTTTATAAAACTTTTAAAGGGTGTATATTTGCGAAAAAATTAGGTGAAACAGAAACTACACAGCAAAATGCTGCAATGCAAGACATTTTGTGTTCAATAAGTATTACTAAATTAGAGAGTAAATTTATTAGGCAATCTGAAGGGAATCATGTTACATGACCCCCTTGTCAGAATTTTTTTATATTATTATTTTGCAATATTTGTTGATTTTCATTTCAGATTTGATGCTCAGACTGGCGCTGACAGAGAAGTTCAGAGAATTCTACTGGAGTTACTCAATCAGATGGATGGCTTTGACCAGACTACTAATGTCAAGGTAAGTTATTTGTAGGACACATTCTGGCCTCTTGAACCTCCCAAGAGTACGAGAGTCCACATGACCTTTTTTATTTTGATACTGAATGAAAAATATGTAAATATTTCTGATGGACAGGTTATAATGGCGACGAACCGTGCTGACACTTTGGATCCCGCTTTGCTCAGACCTGGCCGTCTTGACAGGAAGATTGAGTTCCCCCTACCTGACAGGTATACCTCAACTTGTACTCAAATTTTAAATTCTTATAGGCATATTTATTTTTTGTTCCTTAATTATTATTTTTAGGTCACATGCGTTTAAAGTGATTTAGAGTTCTGGATTAAAAAATTTTCATTGCAGACGTCAAAAACGCCTTATATTCTCAACAATTACCGCAAAGATGAACCTGTCTGAAGAAGTAGACCTAGAGGAATTTGTGGCGCGGCCCGATCGCGTTTCCGGCGCTGATATCAACGCCATCTGTCAAGAGGCAGGCATGCACGCTGTTAGAGAAAACAGGTATTTAAAGCCTAAATAAAATCTCACACTTTTGTTCAAAAATTGTTTTATATTTTTGCATGTTATCCAATAACCAGCTTAGATCTGACTCAGCAATCCTGCACTATATTAATCGTAATGCAAAACGTGCAAAACGATACTTTCCAAAAAACTACGATATCTTTCACGGAATTACTAGTAAATGTCAGTTTCGCGCTGTCTCCTATGCCACATTCCCCTTGTGACGATGTGACTTCCTTACATTGTCATCCCACTTTTTTATCGCCTTTTCTTCGGTTCCTGGCCACTCGTTTTTTAATTTTGAATCGTTCTTTAATTCCTTTGCCTCGCCATTCTGATTTTGTTTCGTTCCACCGCCACTCCCTGCTCGATCGCGGTAGCGTACAGTTCCCTTACCAGTTTTAATATCGATTTGTAATAGCTAATCTAATCATGTGCCAATTTTGATAACAATTTGTAATAACTACTGCTAATCATGTACCAACTTTAATACCAATCTGTAATACCGCATACCTCGGCCGTATTTTTATTTACACGTTTTTTAATAAAATGTTTCACAAGCAATCAGTATCGTTGTAATTCTGTATTATTTGTTTCTAGGTACATTGTCCTCCCCAAAGACTTCGAGAAAGGATATAAGAACAATATCAAGAAAGATGAAAGTGAATACGAATTCTACAAGTAAATAAATTTAATCTGCATTTTAAATATGTATCTGATTTTAATTAAAATAAATAATTTAACAACAAGCATTTGTACTTTTTAAATAAAAGTCAAAGTTAGTTCAAAATCTATATTTGATAACAGTTCTTAACAATGTGAAATATTACAATATATTTGGCATATACCTTATAAATGAAATTGATTTAATGCGTACGAAATAAGTTATATTTTTATTTTTAAACTGAATTAATTTGAATAATGTCTTTGTGATGAAAATCAAGTCCGAACTTTGTCAAGTTGATTCTACCTACTCCTCTATAATGTATAAATACTTTGTTATGCCAATAACGAACACGTGCAAAGAGTGCTTGCGAAAACACTAAGGCTATGTTATAAGGCACTAATTCTAGGCTCTCTGATACAGAAAATTTAAACCTTTTACATAATCACAAATGTAGCTGCCCATAATGTCAAAAGACAGGATTCCACCTAGCCTCCTCCTGTAATCTAATTCTAGAAAGATTTGATTGACTCTGCATGCACTAACATAACCACAATAATAATCATCAGGTTAGGTGCTAGGCAATCACAGTTACCAAAATTCTTCAAGTCAAAATACATAATATTAATACATTTGATTTGAACCTACATAACAATATTCATAAAATATTATCTCGGAATGTAAAAAGAGAATCATGGAGGAAAAAGCAACTGAACATGATTATAACTTAATTGAACAATACAACCTAAGTATATGATTAAGAAAAACATAAGTACAAAAGCAACATTCAGTAATACTGATTTAGTAAGTAACAACCAATTGTGAGTTCCTTAATTATCTGGTACAAAATTTTACAATGCCGAAATAACAATACCATCGCAAAAATGATTTTATCAATAAGTACATAATTATATAAATACTTTGTACTATACGAATACCTAGAACACACCTATGGACGGGGCGGAGTTTTTGAAGGCTACAAATAGTTCGGAATTTTTGAGAAATATAGCTTATTTACGTTACTAGCTTAACCTATAACAAACACGTATATTCAACAAATGTATGGCAATAATAAACATATAAGTACAATAAAATAGTTTCAACAATAATATAATAATTCATGATCAAGAAAATAGAATCAATTTATCAGCTAGCTATTGAAGATATGGAATGTGACTAAATACTTTAAAACGATTTTATAGTACAAAAAGTGGAATGATTTCACTGGTTTTCGTTAAGCAGTTACCGTACGTATGTTTATATAATATTTCATCACTTATACAATACATATTTAAGAAAATAATTGTTGTAAGTTCATAACTTATAATACAAAATATTATAAGTTGCTCCATAAAACAACTTTGGTTGAAAATTATAAATAACACTGGTTATGAATAACAAACAGTTTGAAAAGTTTTTTATGTACTTTTGTCCCAAAATCGTATTTTATATATGTACATACCTTTATTGTTTATTTTGACGATTAGCCGTGTACTGTATTATTTACTACGAGCGTTATAAATACCGCAACCAGGCGTGGTCAGTTTTACCGTCACGTCAAAAATAGCGGTGGGTCTTTCGTTTTTAAATTATCTGAATTAAAACGGGTTTACGTAATGACACTGTTTGATACATTTTGCATTCCGTGTCTGGGGATTATAAGTATATAAAAAGTAACGACTGTTTATGACTATAATTATCTGAATACTTACCCAAACAACTTTTACCTACATGTACTCGACAAAAACGCTGGTACAAACGAATATTAAGTCGAACATTTTGTATTCCCAAACAAAATGAATAATCAATACTTTATGAAAGAAATAATATCATGTTTGTTTTCGCGTGTGGACTAATATCATCAGCAAAATTGTCGTCATCGCACATATACGATGAGGATTACAAGAGAATATATCGAGAGAATGTAATTAGAGCAGACAAATCCGAATAAGACTTAAGAATCACAAAAACGACACCATTGTTCATTTTCACTGATGGATGAAAATTGTGTTTTAACCATTTTGCCAAGATAGATAGATATCTATCGATGGATATAGCTAGTAATCGATCTATCTAACGATAGATAGATATCCATCGATAAATGTGGATAGATATCTAACTATCTATCTATTTTGCCAAGTGTACAAATGTGTGAAGTGAATAAGAATTACTGCGCGGACGAGGGCTGCTGGTGCACATGCGGCATGAGAGGCACCAGCAGCGCTGGCGGGCCGGCGCGGCGCAGGAAGGGGTGGTGCAGCAGGCGCGCGGCGGGCTGACGCTGCGCGGGGTCGCGTACCAGCGCCATTTCCACGAACGATAGCAAATCAGGAGGACAACGCGCAGCACCTCGCGGCCTGGGTGGCGGCATGTCGCGGATGCGACGCATCGCCTGCCAAATGTCACTCATGTTAAATCGAAGTACAGGCCATACGGCGTACGAAGCTAAAATAACTTAGCTCAGCTCACGTAGTTGCATGCAAACCTAAGCTAAGAATATACGTAGTAAGTAGTGACATACTACGCGATGGATACGTGCGGGGGGGAAGGGCGTTAGAAAGACGACATATTCTACATAGCTTAGCGGGATCGTCTGTATAGTTACAACTATACAGCTCGGCTAGCTTATTTCGCGGTGTGAACTGAAGTATGAATAGATGCCCCGGCTACGTGAGCTAAGCTAAGTTAGCTCAGCTTCGTTCGCGGTGTGGTCTGCGATTAAGAGTCGATAGTACCTCAACTGGAATTCAAATATTTCCCGTATTCAAACGGTTCTCTTGCGCGGGTCGAGCGGCAGGGACACTGGCATTATTTCAGAATTATTTTTTTTGCAAACGAAAATACCGGCAAAAGTCAGATACAAATCGGTGACTGACAAGTGACATTTGCGATTGGCTAGTATTAAGGCTCAACTCACTCTGGTGCAGAGTCGAAGCGTCGCGACGCGTCATGTTTTTCGGCTATAGCATATTCATCTCTATTTTTCCATTATTAAGGTACAAATTTGTGATATGCAATGTCACTTGAGCGCAGTGAAGCGTCAGACGCCGACCACACTGTGATCCGGGCGCACTAATGCGAGTGTCGTCGTTGTAGTTAAGAAACAGGACGCGACGCGACGCTTCGACTCTGCACCAGTATGAGTTGAGCCTTAATACTAGCCAATCGCAAATGTTACTTTTGTCAGTCACCGATTTGTATCTGACTTTTGTCGGTGCCAAGTGTCCGATTTTAAGCTGATTCAACACACGTAACACTTATCCTACAATCGCTCTCTAAATTGCACTTCAATGTTCTATTCTTTACCGCTGATCATATCGGATCGGGTCAGTATAAGTCGGCCGATAGATGTGTAGGATCGATTTTTGTGGGACAAATGACACCTAAATATTTTATTTTTTAATACACACTTTGGACAAAAAGCTATCTTCTGCTTTATGCATTTTCCAATTCTGTATACGAAATTGTTTGGTGCATTTGTCAGTGGAATTATAGAGGCCAAACAAAGTTAAGGCGGTGTATGGTGCTAGTTTCAAAAATATTTTCAGTTTTCACACATTGCAATTACATGGATGTCATTTTTCTTGCTTGTGAATTGTCAATTCCACTAGCAAATTTGTATAAGATTCATCAAAATATACTTTAATATATTATAATATGTTTGTCACCTTGTACATCTAAACATTGTATGGACAATATATTTGATTATTCACAGGTATACATAATATCTTAAGTGTACATATACAAAATTTTGTCAAAACGACTCGCAACCCTTACCTGCAAAGGAGGTTCGTTGAAGAACGGAGGTTCGCCATCAACCATTTCAACGATCATAATTCCCAGTGACCACACGTCCACCTCGGGCCCGTACGGCAATCTTGATATCACTTCAGGGGACATCCAATATGGCGTGCCCACTAGCGACTTTCGTTTCGGCAGTTCCTGAAAGCCAACATGTTCGCAATGAATACTTCTGTTAGCGGATGTATTAAGTGAAAAAAATAATAAATAAAAAAATGTATAATAATCTATTTATACATTTTACGTTGGAATCGTAGGACAACATGTCTAACATCAGCAGCAACACGGCAAATAAGTTTGCTAATGAATGCGGGTTTTATACATAAAACGCTACAGTATCCATTTGTTAAATGTGTTTGTTAATCATGGACGGAAATAAACTGTTGAACCAAAATACATCTGTTCAAAAATAGAAACTCATTCAAAACTGTTATACTCATATTACGAAGATATACCTGAGACACTTGAGCACAAAATCCGAAGTCCGATAGTTTGACACGGCCATCCGCCGTCATAAGAATAGAATCTGATTTGATGTCTCTGTGTATCACGCCTTGACCATGGAGGAATGCTAGCGCCTGAAAGCAGAGCACGCTATTAGAAAAACTATATATTATTAAAAGTTTATCGGCTTATTGTAAATATTTGCTTAACATTTTTTAGCTCAGTTGGTGGTGGTTGGTTCGACCATTTCATCGACGGTTCTACTAGGCAAAGCCGTAGCAGCCTAACAGTTTGACCTACCGCCTCTCAAGCCGAGGTCGTAAGCTCGCACCGCAGTGTCTCGGAATTTATGTACGAAATTTAATTTGAAATTTATCATGAGCTTTTCGGTGAAGGAAAACATTATGATGAAACTTGCACGTCGAAGAAGGTTCACAACCCACGGAAAATGTGTGAAATCCCCAAGCTGCATTAGGCCAATGTGGCGGACTATGGCCTAAACTCTCCCCTGAGAGGAGTCCCGTGTCCAGCAGTGGGACGTATAAATGGATTGATGATTGATTGATTGATCCACTAGCCAATGACATTACTTTTAAAATTTAATTGATATTGCCAAGTTACCTTCAGGCATTGCTTGCAGACAGTGGCAATTTGTTCAGGATCCATGCGTGAACGCGTCACGATGTCAGTCAGGGCCCCGCCCGCCATATACTCCATTACCACCCAGAGCTCATCGCCTACAAGGTATGATGCGTGCATTTCTACTATATTCGGATGTGGATAATCCCGCATTATCACCTGTAAAGAGATGAATTGAGTTAGACAACAACCCTGTAACTCCTGTGTTGTGCATTAGCACTAAAAATAATTTATAATCAAAAAGATTTTTAACTCTACTGCCTTTATATCGCATTTAATACAATGTTCCCGACGTGATATTTTGGGGGCACATAAACCAATCGCCGATAGCAGTATTATATAGTGTGGTCTTCAATATTTTCAATTCTTATATGTCAAGACACTGTATGTAGTCAAAAGGAGCACAAAAACTACTGTACAAATTCGAGCATTCTGAGGCTTAAATTATGTGTGAAATCTAAAGAATGGTTTATTTAAATAAAATTAAAATGTTTTAGGCAAAAGGATAAGGCCAGCAATCAAATAGTTGAATAACATACCACATAAAAATAATTGAATATCAATTCAATAAAAATTTTAATACAATGAATAGTGACATCTCTAGCCAGGGCAGGTAGCTGTAAAGGTGACGATATCATAGATTTCTCATCGATGGTAGTACGGTAAAAAAATCATTGAAAAACCAAATACAAAGATACGACGCAAGCACATAGAAAAATTCGTGAGGTCCACTAGTTCGTTCCGTGGCTTATTTGTTATAGCGTCTGGCACGGTATGCTAGAAGACGTCGGTTCGAATCCGGCCGGATCGAAGGAATTTTTTCTGAGTGTTCGATCTTTGTCTTAATAATAATAACAAACTAGTGGAGTAATTTCACATAAAAATAATTGAATATCAATTCAATAAAAATTTAAACATACCACTTCATTGAACAGCAACTCGCGCCGCTGCTGCTGTCGCAGGTTCATCATCTTGACGGCAACACGTCGACGCGTGCGCGTGTCAGTCGCGGCGCATACTACCCCCGTGCTACCCTCGCCGATCTTGCTGAAGCCCGTCAGCGTCGCGCGCGGATCACCTTCGCTTACCACCAGTCTTAGTGCTGCGCGGAACTAAAGAGAACAATTTGTAATATTAGTAGGTAGATGCCTATAAAGACACAGAAAGGTGACCACAAAAAGGTCCAGCTCTAATAGAAACAAAAAAAAAACAAGTTTGTCATCTAATAATCCAAATTATATAAAACATGTTGATATAATTTAGAACATAAGTGAAAGTATAAACAACGTTATATTGAAGCAAAATTGCCAATCAGTCACACAAGAATGAGTTACACTTCCTCTAAGAGTCACATTACAATTTAAGATAAAGTTGACAGCACAAGATATGTTATCTTAGGCATGTGTAATTGGAACCACATACTTGGTCATGTGTTAGGCGAAGCTCGTGTTTTGACGCGGCGAGAGGAAGATGTGCGGCTGGATTGGCAGGCGCAGGAGGCGGCGCGTGCTGATGCCGCGATACGCCATATTCGCCTTGAACAAGCACAGAAATAATAACTGATTTATATAGTGGTATACTTAACAGTAGGAGTATTCAGGTCTAGGCCTTACAGTCCCGTAAGAGGTTGACATGTTTTGTGCAGATGCCTATGTGTGTTAATTATATATATATATATTTTTGTTTCTTTGTTGCAATTATTATTATAAATACATATATATAAATACATACATATATATATACAAAGTAATACTTCAGGAAAAATAAAAAAAGTTTTCATTGATAAGTTCTTAAATACTGAATGTAGGTAGATTAATAATAAGCTTTAAAGAAAGATTATTTTTTGTGCATTCTATATCATAAATTAAACAGCCGTAAGTTAAGCCAAAATGGAGATATTTCAATAATAAATAATTAGGAAAGGACAACCGTGACCTGTAAAGGGCCCGAAACGTCGGTTTGTATGAAAAAAACAAATATACGCGATTTAAATCCGGAAAAATAGTTTCATTTCCTATGTGTAACAATCGCGAAAACCTAAGAACTCGATAATAAATAATTAGTGAAAATCAATCATCATGTTGGATTTATATTGTGGATTATCATTATATTCTCATAGTCTGAGCCAAAAACAAGTATTGCACCATTGACATCATCATCATTTTATTCTATGGGTCGCAATGGTAATTGCGATTGCAAGAAAAAAGTACAGTGGCGAAGATAATAATTACATATCATCTTATTCTCGTAAACATAGTAAGATATTTTTTTTAGAAAGGTCATTTATTCTGCTGTTACAATGAAACCATGATATGATAATCAACTTTTGCTTTCTTATACGAACAGCCAGAACAGTTTGAACTACTGCGTGTATCGTTAATTCGCGTAATTATTTTTATGAGAACAATTCTATTGTCATTTGTCATATGAAGAAACGTAACTCATTTAGTTTAATATTATCATATAACATTATATTTGTGCACTTGGGCATGGGTAGGAAATGTGAATATTATTGTATTATTTTGTTATTCCGTAAGTAAGTAACTGCTTAAAAATCACGAAAAAAAATTGATAAGATGTATTGGTACCTAAAGATCTTAAATATGATATAACACATAGGGTCGTATTCTAGAACTCTATTCAATGCTCAAATCAGGATTTGAGTATGGTTTAAAGCACTCGAAATCATGCTTAAGTCCCTGCCATTAGGGTCGTATCTCCAGTGCTTGAAATCATGCTCAGATCCTGACTTGAGCATTGAGTAGAGTTCTGGAATACGACCCTAAAACTGTGATAATGGCAGTTATCTTTTTGTTCTCTGGGGATGGCGTTAGACATTTTACCACGTAGGCACTTAGTTTTGTCAATAACTTGTTATGTTTCTCAAATTGCAATGAAGCAGTTTTAAATTAATTCCTGCACCTCTTATGTTAACGACAAGGATGTATCAAACGATGAACAAATACATACCCATGGTAATATTATTTCCATTTAGTCCGTGTGACATGCTATGGGACATAGTCTGAGGTGGATGGTTGTGCTGATAAGGAACATTGGCATTTTGTATATTCTGATATGTTACATTTGTGGAATGATTATCATTCATTGCTGAAACAGGTCTGATCATCGCTTCATGAGCATGCTGAGACCAGTCGACTGGGGATTCTGTTATTAGCTTGTTCATGGTATAATTGCAGTGATCTCTTCGCAGGCTGGGATATTGTTGTGGAGCAGGAGGCACTGGTGGTGATTCCTCAGGCACTGAAGGAGGTACATTTGCCTGATTCCTGTAGTCCCTTCTAATACGGGGTGGACTTGAACTACGTAGTGAGTTTGACCGTGCAACATTTGATGTTTTAGGCAGTATTACTCCATTTTGGACAGGCTGTGATGGGATGGCGGAAATTGGACGTGCCACTGAAGATATTGGTGTGACTCTATGATCTCCTCGTACTATTGTTTTTAAATCTAGAATTTCAGTAGGCGTAATTTCTGATGGGTCCACCAAAGGTAGTGGTCTATTTGTTGATTTTAATATCTAGAAAAAAAAGAACAAATGATCTTTCTTCACATGTGTAAAATTAATATTATAACTATTGTAAAAATATAATCCTGCACTTTTATCACAAACGTTATGATTCATCGAATTCTTTGTTATCAGCTGTTAATAGCTTTGTCTCAACTCTAATTTTGAAGTCATTATTCAGCTATTAAAAACATGCCATAAAAGTACACACATCAAAAGTGTCTAGGGATCAAGAGAATATTTTAGAAATAAAAATTATTTAAGCAATATTTACCAAATCCAGTCTTCCAGGACGACTTCTTACTTTAATGCTTATGTTTTATTTAACCGCTTACCCCTATATTTAATTAAAATAAACTAAAATTGATGTTTTTGCAAATTGTGGGAAAAAACTCAAATTAACGGCGTCAATTAAATGACAAAAAAATGGCGAAAATGATGATTTTGCTCATTGTTATTGTAAAGATAAGAAAATTAATAATCTGTATTTCCACCATTAACACGAATCACACAATTACAGCGATTTGGCATGCTTAAGATGAGTTCATCAAAATCACTTTGAGGAATGGCCGCCCATGCGTTTTGTAACAAGTCAAAATATTGTTGTAGAGTATGTACGGTATGCATACTCGGCACAGCTCTTCTTTGAAGCATATCCCATGCGTGCTCAATTGGATTGAGGTCTGGCGATTGAGCAGGCCACGGCAGAACGTTGATACGAGCTTCGGCAAGAATGCGTGTTACGACTCTAGCCGTGTGTGGACGTGCGTTGTCATGCATTAGTTGAAATGAATCACCCAACTGGCCTCGCAAAGGGATGATAACATCTGAAACAATCCTCTCTGCGTAAACTTTAGCATTGAGATTACCCCTGATCCAAATGAGATCGGTTCTTCCGCCGATCCAAATACCGGCCCATATCATTATTGTTCCCCCACCATATGGATGAACTTCCTGACAATATCTCAAACGTTCATGACGTCCAGATGTTCTCCAAACTCGAGTACGTCTTGTATCCGGTCTCATACCGAAGCGGGATTCATCCGAAAAGCACACATAGCGCCAGTCTTCTTCCTCCCAGTTTCTGTGTTCGCGAGCCCATCGTAAACGGGTCCTGCGATTGCAGGGTGCAATAGGTGGAACTCTGAGCGGCCTTCGGGATCGCAGACCCACTTCACGTAAACGATTTCGGATTGTTTGATCGCTTATTAGCAAGCCTGAGGAGCTGTGGAGCCTCGTAACCAACATCATGGCGGTCATGGTACGATTCCGTCGAGCAGTATTTTGGATATACCGGTCCTGTCTGCGAGTCGTGATGCGAGATCGTCCTCCATGTCGCTCGGCCACGCTGCCCGTCATGCGATAGCGCGTCCAGAGGCGACTTATGACGCTCTGTGTAGTGTTAAGAGTGAAAGCCACAGCACGTTGCCTGGAACCAGCTTCCAACATTCCGACGGCTCGCATCATCACTTCTCGGGTTAAATGATGTCGTCTCTCCATAATAATGTAAATTGTTTCGGTTCCGATGCAGATATTGTAATGATTTTGTCAAAACGCTATAACTCATTTTTATACAAAACCACATTGACAATCGATTTTCTTCTTATTATCGAATTTTAAACAATATTCCTTATTTAAATGTTAAAACTCACTAAAAAGTATCAATAGCGATACAAAAAAGTTAATATAATTAACCCTAATTGCAGCAATACTCTTAAACGTACTTGATCCCTAGACACTTTTGATGTGTGTATAAACAATATAATATTTTTCTGAGAGATGTAAAGAACCTAAGTGCCAAAAATCAATTTTTAGCACAGATCTTAATTCAATCTTAAGATCAAATAAAATATCATGTCTTTCACCATTGCATAACTTTAGCATTCTAAAGCAATGTTTGTAAGAACACAGATACACAAATAATGAAGTTCTGTCACCCATGCTAGTTATGTAAAATGACAATTCCTGAAGCATCTTCAATGGCTAAGCATAGACTATATAGTATGCATAATTATAATCATGTAACAATTTATTTTATGTAAGTACATTTTAATTAGTAATAACAATAATAAATTTCTTTATTTCGGATTAAGTCCATAAGGGTTATTAACAAAACACTTAAAAATAGGGTTAGTATTACATATTGCTTATTTTACAATTTATTATTATAGGCCACAAAACCAATGTGCATCCTAGACCAGTGATCTAGGAAGCAACCCTGTACACGGTTTACAATTATACTCAGGAGGCTGTTATCGCCGCCCCGAATACTGCGCAACAAAGAAGCCGCCCTTTTTCGCATGATAGCTGAAAAGCCATCTAAGCGAGGCACGGCGAACATTCCCGATGCACTGCAAAATCGAGGCAGCTTCAACAGCATCCTGAATAAATTATTATACAACACACGGAGGGAGCTTAGAGCTTTTTGGGTGTAATTGACCCATAGGCTACATGTATAAAGTGACTGACAGTACCCCTTGAACAACATAAGTTTGACGTCGTCAGTACACCTAGCAAACCTACGAGCCAACATGTTGCCCCTCACTGCTAGCACCCTACGCTCCCTTTCAACATCTAAATCGTCCTTTAAAGTCAAAGCGTCGTATTCAAGAACTCTACTCAATGCTCAAGTCAGGATTTGAGTATGGTTTAAAGCACTTAAAATCATACTCAAGTCCCTGCCATTAGGGTCGTATTTCCAGTGCTTGTGTTGCCAGTGCAATCCTGACTTGAGCATTGAATAGAGTTCTAGAATACGACCCTCAGAGACCCAGTGCCCCAGGTACTTAAATTCGGTGACTCTTTTAAGAGGAGTGCCACACAGGCAGGGCTGGGCAAAATACATGCTACATCTTAATTGAAATACAAATTACAAAATACTTCCTTAAATGTATTTAAAATACAAAATACCAAATACTTTCTTGAGGTGTATTTGAAATACAAAATACAAAATACTTTCATGGGGTGTATTTAAAATACAAAATACAAATACAAATTACAAAATACTTTATTAGTATACTTATCGCGACATGTGGAAACCAACAATTTCCTTCAAAGGATTTCCTTCCACAATACATATCTTGAAAAAGAAGTTTTAAATATTCAGTTTTACCAGAAAAAAACTGTTAAACCAATACAACCATACTTCAGAGCACGAAGTACGTATAATTATTATTAATATTCCTATACATGTCGAATACTGTATATACGTGTAAATGCCATTCATAACATGTTCACAACACAAATTAGTCGCTCACGCGATACGTTATCCCTATCTACTCGGCCTATAAAGGATGCAAATGTGCAATTTAAACCAACCGCAAAATGGCGGCTATAACCCTAGAACCCTGCTACTCTAAGTTATAACCGCGAAAAGATGACTTTGACGACTTTGACAATACCATGCACTGTTGCCACCTGCAAATGTGCTTCTACTGCATTGAATACGAGTATTTAAGATGTCGTGAGTGTTGTGTGTCGGTGTAGTGAGAACCCTAGTGCACAAATAAGTAATGAAGATAAAGTGCGGGTAGTTAGAAAAACTCGCACAACTAGAAGATGCTGACACCCGCCTCTTCAGTCCTTGCGAGACCATGGACGTTGCAATATGTCCGAAAATTCGAGGTAAATAAAATATGTTTATACGTGAATAAGTCCCGAATTAAAAATCAAATAATTTCATACTTCATTTTTTGAACGTTCCGCTTTACACAAACGGACGCACGCACGCACGCACGCAGGCACGCACGCACGCTGGCAAGCACGCACGCACGCACGCACGCACGCACGCACGCACACACACGCACTCACACACACACATATACACATACATACATATAATAGATGCTCTTTGCAAAAAAGTGATTGATCACTTGCATTTACTTCGTCATTTACAACGACTTCAATCTAATTACATATATTTTTTGTATATAGTTCTTCACATATAATACCACCACGAAGGTTGGGGGCTCAGATAGGGGCTCGATTAGGGGGTCCGGTTAGAGGTCGGTTAGGTGTCGGTAGGGGGTCGGTTAAGGTGTCGGTTTGGGGGTCGGTTAGGTGTCAGTAGGGGGTCGGTTAGGGTCCGGTTGGGGGGTCGGTTGGGGACCGGTTAAGTGGTCGGTGGGGGATAGGTAGGGGGTCGGTTAAGGGGTCAGTTAGGGGGTCCACCCATAAAGGGCCCCTAACCCGCCCCTGACCCACTCCCTAACCAAACCCTTAACCGACCCACTAACCGATTCCCTAACCAGCCCACTAACTGACCCCAACCGGCACCCTAAACGGCTCCCTAACCAACCCCTAACCGACCCCCTAACCGCACTCTAACCTACCCCCTATCTGACCTCCCAACCGACACCCTAAACGACCCCCCAATCGGCCCCCTAACCTACCCCCTAAACGACCCCCGAACCACCCCCAGCCGACCCCTAACCGACTCCCTAACCGACCCCTTAACTAACCTCCTAACCGACCCCCAACTGACCCCTAACCGACCCTCAACCGGCCCCCTAACCGACCCCCTAACACACCCCAAACCCATCCCCTAACCCATATTCGTGATGACACTTTTACTTGATAGTTTCGGTTTTAATTGTTAGTTTCAATTGTTTCTTAGAACAACTAATAAAATTAATCTAATTGCAATTAAAATCAATTCAATCGAAATCAGTTGCAATTGAATAGAATTTTTAATCTGATTGAAATTTAATTGATTAACGTACTTGCTTCGGCAGTACATATACTAAAATTGGAACGATACAGAGAAGATTAGCATGGCCCCTGCGCAAGGATGACACGCAAAATCGTGAAGGGTTCCACATTTTTTTTTGAGCCCGGTCGAACCGCGCGAAATAAACGTAATTATACGTAATCTAAAAAATAAATACAGCTATGGAATAGACGAGATACCATCCGCGCTTATAAGGGTATGTGCAGACGAATTGACGTTTCCGTTTTATACGCTTGTCAATCAGTCTTTTGCCGAGGGTGTGTTCCCGGATCTTCTTAAACAATCCCTGATAAAACCGATCCTCAAAAAAGGAAGTAAGTATGATCTGAGTAATTACAGACCGATTGCATTATTGCCCGCGGCTTCGAAAGTATTTGAGAAGGCAATGTGTAGCCGCCTATACTCTTTCTGTGAAAAGTACAATATATTTGATGAGTCGCAGAATAGTTTTCGGAAAAATCGTTCAACTACACTTGCGACTTACAAATTTATGCAAAAGATTCTGGATACACTAAATGAAAAAAAGTATGGTATCGGTATCCTATTGGACATGTCAAAGGCATACGATAAAGTTCGGTATGATATCTTACTGGATAAACTTTACGGAATGGGTATACGAGGTGACATTCATAAATGGTTCGCATCCTATTTAGAAAACAGAATCCAGTATGTAGAAATCGAGCATTATAACTATGAGACAGGGGAAATAACTCAAGTCAGATCTGAGCCCCAAAACATGAACAATTCGATACCACAAGGAAGCGTCATTGGGTGCATACTATTCCTGGCTTATATAAATTACCTCCCAAAAGTAATAAACGATTCATGTGTTCTTTTCGCTGACGACATCTCAATATTAACCTCTTGTAAAAATAGTGACCACTTAAATCAAACCCTTCATAATACACTAACTACAATTGTAACATGGATGAATGATCACAATTTAGAAATTAACTTCACAAAAACCAAAATTATAGAATTTAGACCCTATCAAAAACCATCACTAAATATTAATTTTTCGTATAACCAAATACAAATAGAAACCGTCAATACATTTAATTTACTCGGAATAGATATCGATACAAATATAAATTGGAAGCAGCATGTACAAAAAATCACAAAAAAGCTATCTAGTTTTACTTACGCCTTAAAAGAAATAAACAAGTCAACAAATTTACAAACTGCCCTAAGTGCTTACTATGCGTACGCTTATGCATGGCTATCATACGGCATCATATTGTGGGGCAATAGTACAACTGTAAATGACCTCTTTATTAAACAAAAAAACTGCGTAAGAATACTAGCAAATATATCAAGAACAGAGAGCTGTGAACCATTCTTTAGAAAATACAAAATCTTAACCCTAACATCAATTTACATTTTGGAAGTTTGCAAATTTATAAAAAAGTACCCACATTTTATACTAAACTGCGAGACGAACCAAGACACCATCCCACAAGATACGGAAATAATCTTGTAACACCGTTCTCAAAATTGGAAATGCATAGATCGAGCCCATATTCAATGTCGATAAAAATATACAACAAACTACCGGAGCATATAAAGCAAGAAAATAAAACAAGTATTTTCATAAATAACTTAAAAAACATTCTTTCTAATAAAACTTACTATACAGTGCAACAATATCTTGATGATAAATTGCTATAGCGTTGATCTGCCTCATTCCTATTTTGCTGTCCATTATTATCATATCCATATTACAGGATTCATATGTCTTTCATTGTAACTATGTGAATAAATAAATAAAATGAAGTAGATAAAATGTTATATAATGGAGTAAATGCAATGTTATTATGGTCGAATTAAAACTAGTATAACACATAATTGTACAATTAATAGTATGTTTATATATATGATAAGAAATATAATAAGAAATTTTGTAATAATAATTATTGCTATGGCTTGAAATGTAATTAAACCATATTATAAGTTTTTATATTGCTATGCCCTTACAGTATATTACAAGTATACGTAATATAGTGTAAAATTTGTATTATTTATATTATGTAAACTGCAATAAATATATTATCATTATCAATGCCCAACACTGATATAAATCTATGCACGTCACAAAATAGGCTGTACATTGAAAAGAAAAAAGTATTTTGTTGAAATGTATTTTGCAACGAAAGTATTTGAAATACAAATTACAAAATACATTACGGTCAGGTATTTGAAATACCAATTACAAAATACATTTTTAGGGAGTAATTGAAATACAAATACAAAATACGTATTTGTATTTTAAATACGTATTTCAAATACAAGTAATTCAAATACTGCCCAGCCCTGCACACAGGTCTTGCTACCCGATTTAAAAACTAGCAACTCACTCTTACTGGCGTTGTACCTAAGACCATGAGCCTCTGCATATTTTGTACATATGCCTAACAATTTCCAAAAAGCAGTTATTGAGGGACTCAGCAACACCATGTCATCTGCGTAACTAATATTATTCACCATTATTCCATCCATCGAGCATCCAACCTTGGTGTTGCTCAGCTCATCAATTAAACGATTCATGTAAAGGTTGAAGAGACTTGGCGAACTTAACCCACTTTGTCTCACTCCACACTCTAACCTTAGTGAGAAAGCAATAAATTTTAATGAGTATCGAGTTTTTACAAACCTGATTGTTTCCAACAAGTGAAGCCCATTGTAGTGGTAATCCAACAAACTTGCCTTCACGCTTATCAAACCCGGTATGCACTCTGTGCTCAAAATTACTCGGCGGCGAAATCAGAGGCTTCTTCTTCTTCTTGGAAAACATTATGTGAAATCACTACCTGTAATCATCCATTTACACTCAAACACATTACACGAGTACAACCAGTTCATTATCAAACACCATCACTATCGACTAATAAGTGTAAAACCGAAATAGGTACCTTTATGTAACCACGACTAATGAGGAATGGAAAGCTCGAACATTACACTTTCTTTCACGTTCAAGTGAATCACCGGACTGCTTGAGTTAGTACATACATTAGCCCCGTTGCTGTACGTTTAGTTAGAATAACAATACACCAATAAGGTCTATACAAACCTTAACGTGAAATTCTTGAACTCGAAACACACGCTGAATACCAAATCAACAACTTACTCCGCAACAAGCAGCCATGCTCAAAACAAATTGAATTAGTGCAATCTCCTAAAATATTTCACATAAATATTGATACACATAAATCAAACTGCCTACAAACAGCTCTTAGGGACTAATAAAGCCTGTTTACGCTTAGCAACCGGAAAGAAAACAAAAATTAATTTCTCCAAGAGCGAGAAACCCTGCCCAACGCGACATTTACGAAGGAATTTAAAAAAAGTTATATTGTGCTACTTTAGTACAATAATACCACTTTTGACATTACAGTAAGACTGACGCTATACGAACTCGAGATGTGATCCACTTACTCACATAAATCGAGTATATTCATAAAAACCGCACTGACAGTGTTTTTCTCACAAAAATAGCGGGTTTTTGTAGTTACAGTTTTTCACAAATTTATTTTTAATAACGACCCTAGGGGTCGTATTTCAGAGCTGTACTCAATGCTCAAGTCAGGAATTGAGCAGACTTGAATATGATTTCAAGCACTGGAAATACGACACTAATGGCAAAGACTTGAGTATGATTTTCAGTACTCACTGCAATACTCAAGTCAGAATTTGAGCAGACTTGAGTATGATTTCAAGCACTAGAAATACTACCCTAAAGTAGAATTCTGGACATTACACTGGTTCCAGTTGTTTGCTCAAGTCAGGACTTGAGTATGATTTCAAGCACTGAAAATACGACCCTAATAGCCAGGACTTGAGTATGAGTAGAGTTAATACTATCCTGAAGTTGTTGACGATGTGTGACTGCGGTAAAAATAGATCATACACTCTATATTTATTTGAGAGCGGTGAATTGAAGCGGCGATTTAAATCTCATTTTTTTAAATTGCCCAAAATATGATCGACAGTCCAACGTGCCTCTTTCGACTTTCATCCATATTTTGTTGTTGTCCAAGAACTCTTTCTATATATAGGTACTTATTTATCTAAATTTATTTTAGAAAATAATATAAAAATTCAACTCCTTTAATAATAACATAATGTTTATTCTATGTTTATTTACAACTCATAATATTTTTATTTTTTTTGTTTATTCATAATTACTCGTCTGATCCCTTTTTCTCTTTTTCTCCAACTTTTAAATCCCGTTTCCAAACTACATTCCATGATAGTAGAAAAGTTTCCCCGTTTTAAAAATAAATTAGTCAAAACCATTTTGTAAGTGGCTAACACGCTTACCACGAAAACCGGAATATGAGAAAAAGTCTATTTTAAAAAGTATCAAATCTAATTAAAAAGAAATGTAACTGTTCCACACCGACCGCCGCTCTTTAACCCAAGGCCATGAAATAAATTAAAAAATGAACTGACATTCATTTATTACTAGGGATGGCCCATTGACAAAAATATGTCGATATATATCGTATCAATATTTACATACAGTATTGATATTTGTATTATAGAGATTTTTTCTGAAATAACCACTAGCTTTTATTATGATTTTTAATACAAAGATCGAACACGTAGGAAAATTTTCTTCGATCCGATAGGACTTGAACCCACGACCATACTGCACCGTAGTATTGCTCTTACAAATTGAGCTACAGGTCAAGTTATCGAGTTGTCGAAATTCTCATGTGTTTTTGTTAAAGATTTTTGTACTGGATTTTCGTCATTCTGCGCCACTTGTGATATCTAATGAGAGATTTTATTTATTTATGGAGACTCCTCAACTCAATAACTTGACCCATAGCTCAGTTGGTAAGAGCAATAATGCAGTACAGTGTGGTCGCGGGTTCAAATCCCAGTCCAATAAAATATTTCTACGTGTTCGATCTTTGTGTTAATCGCACACTGATCGCGATTGCACGCAGTCATGTAATACTAAAATAATTTTAGTTTGTATGAATACTGTATCTAATAACCATCGGGACAGGCAGAAACTACAGTCTTCCACTAGCTACAATCCTGACACATAAGTATCTATCGCCTCATTGACATGCGTCAATACTTTTCTATACTCGTCGGTTAAGAAATATTGTTAATAATTTAAAATATTCGTAAAGCACATGCTAAGGCTTCAATAAAGAAATATCGAAAATGATACTCCAAAAAATATCGATTTCTAATATATCGAGTTTAAAAATATCGAATTTTAAGTAAATTAAATATGACTTTATTCATCAAACACATTTTTATGTACATAGAAAGCCACACGATATTATGTATTAATCAATAATTATAAGCTATGAATGACGAAAAGGACGAAGTCTCAGCATAGTGCTGTTTCTTAGTCTCCGCCTACTGTGTTCTCTGTCCAACATATCGGAACACAATTATTTAATTTCTTGATATTTTGATATATCGATATTTTTTATCATCCCTATTATTACGCCTTAAAAAGTACTGTGTAGCCAAGTTTGGCTGTATGGTGTAAAACCTTTGCCTTTTCCTTTATGGAAAGATGGACAAAAATAATAATAGTGTAGCCAAGTGATCTATGGTAAAGACCTAGGGAGTAGGGAG